GTATATATATATATATATATATATATATATATATATATATACACGCGCGCGCACATGCACATACATATACAAACATACATACATACATGCATATATATATACATATATAACTTAGTCGTATAAATTTGCGAGCATAACGTTAATTTCAATTATTCCAAACACTCGTTCGATCGCTATCCTTCTTTTCCTTGTCACACACACATAGATACATAGAGACGCGTGTTTGAACGCGTTGAACGACGTTCGATTAGGTTGTTTGGAAATGCGTGATGTTGTGTAGAATACGATGGAGCACGAGGCAAAATCTGTAGCATGCCGAACGATATTGAGATTAATTAAAAAGAAAAGAGAAAGGAAGGAAAAAGGAAAATCTCGTTTCGAAAAGAGGAATCTCGGTCGTTCACTTTTATTTTTTCTCATTGTTCGTACTTGTATTTTGTTGCGTTTGTTCCAATCGTGGTAGCGATTAGTTGCGCTTGTCGAACGTGCAGACGAGCGAGCGATCTCGTAATTTTAACAACAATGATCCTGGATATTGGAGAATTCAAAATTGCCGCGGTTAGGCTGCAACGTTGCCAGATATCGCTCGTCCGCACCAAATCCCTAGCACTTTGACGGTCGCCGTCGTGTTGCGGATGATTTAAAAATCCTCTTTCACATTTTTTTCTTAATTCTCTAAAATATTTTACAGATTGTAATAATAATACTAATAACGATACGAACAATTACACCGAAATTCCAAGATTAAAAAATACGTTTAATTTTATAGAAATGATCCAAAAAAATTTGCGACGAAGGATCTGTTCGAGTATGGAAAATGGCGTGCCGTCGAAGTGCGAAACGCGTAGAGATTTGTTCGCAGGACCTGGCCGAGACGATATTGCGTTATAGTTTTCGAGAGAGAGAGAAAAAAAACAAAAAAAAAAAACGAATCGATCGGCGCAGGACTAATTGTCCTGATTCTTTTCAGATATACGGATATTGGAATGGCCAAACGTGAGGACGCAAGCCGGTGTCTCGAGTTACATCTGTTCAAAGTGCAACGCGGGATTCCGAAGGATGTGGGACCTGATCAGGCACAAGTGTGGCCAGATCCCTAGATACGCGTGTCCTTATTGCCATAAGAAGGACAACTCATCCTCGAACGTTTACAGGCACATCAGACGATGGCATCCTAAATTGCCAGTCGGTGTGAACAAAATGTTTTGAACGGTGTCCCGAAACTTTCGGTGAAGTATTATATAGTCTAGAAGCAATTAAAAAAAAAAACAAAAAAAAAAAGAAAATAAGAGAAGAAGAAAAAAAAGATGAATCGAATCGAGTCGAATTTAACTGGCTACTTTCATCCCTCGTTTTCATCACCCTTTCAATTTTACCCTCTTTTTTTTTTTTTTAATTCTAAATAATAACAATCCGCGCATGCGCGTCGAGTTGTACAAGTACGTAATTTCAGTTAACGTGTGAATGCGTGGATGGGAGTGTGTGCAAGGAATCTCGTCTTCCGTCAGGATTCGCAGGAGAGAATCTTATCCATCGTTTCCTTGGTGTTTCTTGCCTTGATTTAGGTGTAACTGTGTAAACAAACGCTTAGTAGATTATGTATCTACGCTTCAATCTACGGAATTCAATATATTTTTTCTCTCATTTTCCCGATACGTACACGTGCACGCATACACACACACACACACACACACACACATGTATCGTACACAATGATATCGTACACACATCGTGCACGTATACGTATACACATAGCAGGGGACCAAATAGAGATCGAAAGGGGGACGAAATATAACCCCCCCTTTATCTTGCTAAGTCTCGAAGGTATCGAAGCTCCTCGAAGAACGTTTGCTCTACATATCGTGTTTGTGTTTTTAATTTTCAGAATGGAAATACTCGACGTCCCGTACAAGGACGAACGCTATAGAGTGTTCGAAGTGCGGCAAGACGTTCCCCAAGCAAAGAGATTTGACGTTCCACGTGAGGCACGCGTGCGAAGAGAAATACAAGATTCGTAGCATGAGAAATTCGGATGCGTATCTCTATGGCAACGATTTGGACTGCAATCGATGCGGGAAGAGGTTCAAAAGGCGGAAAGATCTCAATTACCACATACGTCATTTGTGCGGTATACGTGGTATACAGTGTCCTTATTGCAACAAATGTTACACGTATTCGTCCAACGTCAAGTATCATATAAGCCGTTACCACGAGGGGAAAGAGGTTTATTACAATAAACTTGTTTGAACGAATTTCGATTAGATCAGCGCGAATCATTTTCGTCGTCGAGAAAAGAAACAACGTGGTGTTTTTTTTCCGAATCGATTTCTTTTCTAATCGTACGCTCGATCCCTCAAGCTTGCCGCAAGATTTTCGTGCTCGTCTCGTCGAACGAGAATAACGTTCGAATTTTCGAACGAAAGAATTCTTTCTATTTCGTATTTCGAATCATATAGGATTACATTACGATGGAATTTTTTTCTCCCTAATCGTCGCAATTCTCTTTCTGTTTCTTTCTTTCTTTCTCTCTCTCTTTCTTTGTCTCTCTCTTCCTCTCTAGTCACTCGTCGAGCCTGTGAGAGCATACGTTTAACTGTGTGTTCGAAATCTCGCCGATAACGCGAACGAACGAATTGTAAAAGATCTCGTAAGCATAATGTAAACGTTTATTTGAAAATAACGATTAAAAACTCGATCAACTTTCAGCTCAAGCTGTTTTTATCTATTCCTAACAATTCCATCGCGTTACGATTCAACGAATCGCGTGTGATATCGATATATATATATTTATATATATAAACACGTGTTACACACATCTGTATCCAAGTTGAGACGATCCTAACCTTCTTTCCCGTTTTTCTTCCCCGTTCACACGAGTATACATGGCGCCCTCTGCAACTACTTCTATCTCTCTCCCACCTTCCCATACGCCATTCTTTTACTCCTCTCTCTCTTTCTCTCTCTCTTTCTGTCTCTTTCGCTCTGTTTTTTTCTATCACAGCGTGACAACGTTCCTCCAGCAACGTTTCCCTATTGCACGGTACAAAACTGTTGGCCGCCCGCGACCCGTTTAACCTCGATTAACCATCATTCGTATTGATGTTTTCAGGTAATTACCAAGGGGAGCGTTACGTGAAGTGGAACAGCATGGGGTATGTCGGTTATACGTCGGAGAAAAACTACTTGGACAGGTATAGATATCACCCGAACGAGCGTAAAAGATTCGAATGCCTCAACTGCGGATGTCGTTTCACCCAGAAGACAACCATGACCAGGCATTTACGCTACTTTTGCGGACAGGGGCATCGTTACCAGTGCCCTTACTGCGAGATGAAAGCCTCGTGCTCCTCCAATATTTACAGACACGTGAGATCGAGACACGCCGGGTACAAAGCTCACGCCATAAAACTCTTCTCCTCGATCAATCCCCGTAGAAATTTAGAAACCATAAGTAAAAAAAAAAAAAAAAAAAACTCGATCAACTTTCAGCTCAAGCTGTTTTTATCTATTCCTAACAATTCCATCGCGTTACGATTCAACGAATCGCGTGTGATATCGATATATATATATTTATATATATAAACACGTGTTACACACATCTGTATCCAAGTTGAGACGATCCTAACCTTCTTTCCCGTTTTTCTTCCCCGTTCACACGAGTATACATGGCGCCCTCTGCAACTACTTCTATCTCTCTCCCACCTTCCCATACGCCATTCTTTTACTCCTCTCTCTCTTTCTCTCTCTCTTTCTGTCTCTTTCGCTCTGTTTTTTTCTATCACAGCGTGACAACGTTCCTCCAGCAACGTTTCCCTATTGCACGGTACAAAACTGTTGGCCGCCCGCGACCCGTTTAACCTCGATTAACCATCATTCGTATTGATGTTTTCAGGTAATTACCAAGGGGAGCGTTACGTGAAGTGGAACAGCATGGGGTATGTCGGTTATACGTCGGAGAAAAACTACTTGGACAGGTATAGATATCACCCGAACGAGCGTAAAAGATTCGAATGCCTCAACTGCGGATGTCGTTTCACCCAGAAGACAACCATGACCAGGCATTTACGCTACTTTTGCGGACAGGGGCATCGTTACCAGTGCCCTTACTGCGAGATGAAAGCCTCGTGCTCCTCCAATATTTACAGACACGTGAGATCGAGACACGCCGGGTACAAAGCTCACGCCATAAAACTCTTCTCCTCGATCAATCCCCGTAGAAATTTAGAAACCATAGTAAAAAAAAAAAAAAAAACAAAAACAAAACAAAAAAAAGCGGATGATATCTCGAGCGGAAATTTCTTCCCTCTGTGTTTTTGCCGCGAGGAAAACCAAGAACAAAAGTGCATTCCAGGATTACACTCTCGATAACCGATCGAATGGTAGCAGGATGTAAAAATAAGAAAGACGAAGAAAATGCCTTGATGGAAAAGGAAATTCCATATCCGATTGTCCGGAGAAATCGAAATAATAAATCCGGAGAGATCGAGACAAGACTTAGAAAAGTAAGGCCGTGTCACCGTTTTCTCTTCTCACTTTTTGTTTCCTCCGATGTAAAATATATATACATATGTGTCTTTTCTTGTAATTCTCTGGTCGCATTGCTCTCTTCGGTAATTCGTCCCGCGCGCAGCTTCTGCTTCTTGATCACGACACGAGGATTTTCGTTCCTTCGAGATCCTCGTTGTTTAAAACGTTTCCCCCACCCCCTCCGTTATTATCGAATATTTCCAGGGACAGAAAAGAAAAGAGGAAAAAAAGAAACAAAAAGAGGATCCACCTTCAAATCTTTCTTTTTTCACTTTTCACTTCTATGTGTCACGACGAGCCGGAAAAACTCGATGCACGCGCACTCGATGCCTCCTGGACCGAGGAGAGAAAAAAAAAAAAAAAAAAAAAAACGCGTAAAACACAATGTTCAATTGCCGCTAACACGCTCTATTCGATATTTCAGGTGTTTGCGAGAACGTAACCAGGAAGAGGCGGAAAGTGTACTCGGTGAACAAGAGTCACTATTGCCCACGGTGCAACCGTGGCTTCACCCTAAGAAAAACATGACGCGGCATCTGCGTCACGAGTGCGGCATGGCGCCGAAATATCAGTGTCCTTACTGCGACAAGCCCTCCAAGTTCACACAGAACATATACGCCCACATCAGGAAGTATCATCCTGGCCAAGTGTTGTGCTTCAAACGCCTCTATTGAGAATATATATATATACACACACATACATATATATATATATATATATCATTCGCAACAACTTCCCTTCCTTCCCCCTTCCCCTCCGTGTCCACGTGTCTCGATGTGTCAGAGCAACCAAATAAAGTTCAAATTCTTCAATCCCAATGCGTCTCGAGTCTCTTCATTCCACTATTATATCGGGGAATATTTTACGAGGAGGTAGGAGAGAATGGATGGGTGGTGAATGAGGGATGAAAGTTTTTTATTCAGCTAATTATATTGGTCAATTTGATTTCAGGTGTTTCGTCGATCGACAATGTATCCAAGTTTTTTCATCAATGGCTCAAATGCTCGTTCCTTTTTTATACGTTTAATCGTGAAGAGATGGGAATAAGAATGTGTATAGGTGTAAAAAAGAAAGTGTACCTCTATAACTCTATAACACGGTCTCTCTCGTCTTTACAAGAAAGACAGAGAATAAAATCGCAACCCTTTCCAACCCCCCCCCCTCCCTATCTTTATCTCTGTTTTATCTCCAAACCAACGGCTCAAATAATTCTCGCGAGTGGACGCCAACAACAAGCGGAACAAAGCGGACTTCCGCTCTGAGAGCAGCGTCTACTCGCGAGACAAAACTCGTATAGATCCATCCATTTCGGAATATACACACTCTTTGTACAAATCAAAATCCAAAAAGAAAGAAAGAAGAAAAAAAAAAAATAACGTTGCTTCTAAGTGTTCTAAGCGCCTGCTCTTTCTATCGCCCAGACCAGAGTTGCAAGGGGATCGTCGATCCCCAGTTTCGAAGGACGGATGCACGACATTGCATCTCTCTCGAAACGTAGCCGTAACTCTTGTTGTAACCCTCACAGAGACAAAGGTGATGATAAAATTGGCGAGGAAACGATTGAAACATACAACCGTTCCCCTTATTATGTGTCGTCGAGATAACGTTCTCACCCAACGTTTTAACAACCAACTCACCTGTCAATTTACTACTAATCTGTAATTTACAGTGATATTCAACCTGTCCACATTGCCTTACCTGACCGTCGTGGGTCCGGAACGAAGGCGGAGACGGTACAGCAGCGGTATCCATCAACCTGTGAACACAGCGTCCCGTGGAAACTTCGACTGTCCGAAGTGTCAGAAGACCTACAAGTGGTATCGCGGCCTCCACAGGCATTTGAAGTACGAGTGCGGTAAGGCGCCGCGTTTCAAATGCCCGCACTGCATGTACACAGGCAAGCACAGGTCGCACGTGTACTCGCACATCAAGAGCAATCACAGCAATTGGCCGATATACGCTCTGGACACTCAGCAGGGGTGAGACAGTTGACGCGCCCGTAAATTCTTCCTCTCTCCCTCACTCTTTTTCTCTCTCTTTCTCTTTCTCTGCCATCCGAGGAAGTGACGCGTCTCACCTCTCTCTCCTTAACGCTTTAGAATTACGCTTGTTCGTACGATATCCAAAGATATCGCGGATACACGTATCCTTGGATATATATATATATATATATATTCGGATAACGGATGAATCGACTTTACCGACGAACCTCATTCTCCCCCCATCATATTGTGTACATTTCTATATTGGTAGTCATTGTATAGAAAATAAACGAGATTCTGTAATCTTAGCGATAGCTAACGGCCTCCGCTTTCCTCCTCCACCTTTCTTTCGTTTTTTCTATCTTTCGTGTTCGTTTCGAGGAGATAAAGAAGAATAAAAAGGAAAAAAGGTGCCTTTGTCACGCGCGTTTCATCTTCTTTTTCTTTTCTTCTTTTTTTTTTCCGTTTTCGTTTCGTTTCGATCGATAATTCAGGATCGTATACCCGATCGATAACAAAATGTGTTGATAAATCAATAAAATTCTTCGATCGAGTGTTCTCGAACGTAAGCCGACCCAGAGGACGAGCGTGTTACACGAGGAAGAAGGTGTTCCGAGCCTGTTCGACGATTAATCGCTTCGCTACTAATCGTTGGAAAATTTTTCCTCTTTTTCAGAACTGGCGCGAAGAAGTGGATGGGCGGCAAGTAGCGACGCCAGTTGGGGCGGCGAAAATCGACGACACCCATGCCCCAATTGTTCACGGAGTTACAAACACCGTAGCCACATGATACGCCACTTTAAGTACGAGTGCGGGACGCCGCAGAGATTCGAGTGCCCCTACTGCAAGCACCATCTACGCCAACGTACCAACGTGTGGACCCATATACGCACGTTTCACCCGAGATACGAGCTCTACTGCATCGATATCGCGACCAACGCGAAACTCTATCACCAGGAACAGTATCGAGCCGATTAATTCGATCGATTGTTAATTTGATCGATTGAATAATCGATCCTCGGTCCAGAAAAACGTTTTTCTATCGTCCCTGTAAAAGGATACGTGTTGACATACGTTTTCGAAAGGGAAAAGGAAGGATTTCTGTGATCTTTCTACTTTTTCTGAGAATTACGTAGGAAGGTGTTTCGAGAGGGGAATAAATGACCGATCATCTATTTTCAAACCTCTTTATTTCTTCTCTTCGGCTCGAGGAATGCTCGATAAACAGTGATGTAACAATCTTCTAACAATCTTCTTCTATTTAAGTGTATCTCGTAAAGAAGTCGACGGTTAACGGAAGAGAAGTTGGAAGGCAGCGCGCAGGTTTGTAGAAAGAAAGGAAAATCTCTCTCGTTTCCCGAGGAAGAAAAGACCTAGCTAAATGGATGTGGAAATTGTGTACGGTGATTTTAATTTCATCGTGGTATCGTTACGTTTATAAAAATACGATAAATTTTTTGTAAAAATTGGACACGTTTCCCCAAGTGTTTTAAAAAAAAAAAAATTAATCGAAGAGAGGAAAGATATTCCCGTTGTTTGTAACGAACGAAACGAACGTTGAATAAACCTTTGCCTCATGAAAAATTTTTACACAAAGTTTTAACAAAGTTCGTTCGCGAGCGAACACCGAGCGAATCCCCGTACTCGTCTCGTAATTCTTTTTTTTAAAAACATCAAGAAACGGCGCAAAATATCGCTCGATAAACGTTCGATACGCTATACGAAACATTTCACAATTGGAATCATCGTGTTCACTCCGCATCCTCTTCTACCAGGATATTTCTTTTTCTACTTTTTTTCCGTTTTTACCCATATATATATATACACACCGTTAAAAGTATTGGAAATAATACAACAACGGACGCGATTAAGAAGGAGAAGGAGGTGGTGTGCGAAGCTTCTAGTTTCCTCCCCTCCTTCTCCCCTCTCCTCTCTCTCTTCCCCCCGGAATTTCGTTTCTTCGGCGGGGAAGAGGAACGGTTCGGTGCTTGAGAAGAAGATTCGTTGAGAAAAGAAAGAAAGAAAGAAAGAAAGAAAGAAAGAAAGAAAGAAAGAGACAAAAAAAGTACACGAAAGGAAGAAAAAAAAGTGGCGGTTGGCCGATCCCGATGGTTCCCTGTTAATAACGCTCTGCTCGTCTGTGTATCTGTTTCAGAGAGGGGTAAAGAGAGAACGGAGGTGGAGCGATTCCACGCCCGTTCCGGCCGCGTGTTTACTATCGTGAGGCGGGACGGGATGTACGAGTGCCCGAGTTGCCGTAACCTCTACAAATGGAAGAAGTCGATGCTGTCCCATTTGAGGAACCAGTGCAAGCAACCGCCTCGATTCGAGTGCCCCCACTGCACGATGAAGAACTACCAGAAATCGCACATGATACGCCACTTGCGGGTCCACCATCCCCAGCTCAGCCAAACGTTCTGGGATCGAAAGTTGAACGGTTTCTTCCGGCTGTAAAAAAACATTTTTGACATAATCGAGCTAATTTGATCTTATTGCCCTTTCCATTCGATCGATTTAATTGTCCGCGCAATAAACGAATGTGAATTGAGGATATGAAAGAAAAGAAAAGAAAGAAGGAAAGAAAGAAGAAAAAAAGAAGAAATAAAAAATAAACTTTGTCCCTCTTCCTCCGATCCATCCATCCTTTCTTTAATCGTTCGAGATTTCTCTTTCAGCCTCCGCTCTCTATGCGTGTTTCTCGACCATCTTATTTTTCCTTTTCACTTTTGATATCGCTCGCGTGGAAAAGGGGGAAATCCACGAATTCGAGAACAATCGTTTCGCAATCGCCACGGTTTACCCTTTGCTACTATCGATCGGTCGAACTTGGAGTTAGGGGTATCAGCGTGTCTCATATGCCTGTTCGATTTTTTCAATCCTCATTGCTTAATTAACGAGCAGGCGGGGCAAAAGGAAGAAAAGGGAGAGAGAGAGAATCTCGAAGAAGCGCGCCTTTTTTTTTAAAGCTGCTCCGTCGCTGTTCCGGTTCCTCTATTCGCGGTAGAAAAAAAAAAAAAACGAACATTTCTTCGAAAAGATCGTTTTCTTTTTCACGACGAATAAGAGGAACTCCACGGAGGACTAAGCTTTGAACTATCGTTTTAAAATAAAAAAAAAAAATTCTTCTCGATAGACACGCGTCCATCGCGAGAAATATCTAATCTTCCAGATCGATTCTCGAGAATTTCGTCCAAAGGGTGGAAATAAATTTGAACGAAAGTTTCGAGAACGAGGAGGAGAAACTCTCTCTCTTTTTCTCTTCCTCTCTTCCTCTCTCTCTCTTTTTCTTTTTCTCGAGAGAGAGAGAGGGAAGGGGGGGGGGAGTTTTCGAGATGCTAAAATAAAAAAAGAAAAAAAAAAGAAAATATAATCGCGCTCCCTGGAATAAGGGGTGGAAACGAGTTTTGCATCTTGCTCGTTCGACTCGGAATTCCGGGTCCCCGGGGAACCCCCTCGTTCGTTGGTTCGTTCGACGAGGGGTGGGCAAAACTCCGTAAGTTGTACAGCCATTATTCTGTACAGCGGTCGAGAGTATTGCTGTTCAGTATTGTATGTCTCCGTGTTTCAGGATTCCATATTCTACCGCCCCCGCTCGGACAAAACCTAATCTTCAAGAGCCGATCGGGAGCAATGGGGAAACGTTGTTTGGAATCGGTTGGGAAAACGGTGAAACGGAGGGGCTTAAAGATAAACGCCTCCGACAAGAAGAAGCCGTTTCAGTGTCAAAAGTGTGGTCGTGGTTTCACCTTGAAGAGAAACAAAGATCGTCACGTGAATTACGAGTGCGGCCACGAGCCAAGATTTCAGTGCCCCTACTGCGGATTGAGGAGCAAGCAAACCTCGCCTGTCTACGCCCACATCAGGAAGAAACATCCTGAAGAAGAAGTGTTCATCTTCGACATGAAGCTGTGAAGATTTGTTTGATTATTCGCCAACGACGATCGTCCATCCAGTTTTAAATGCAGTTTCAGTGTGTGTTTTTTAAATTGTTTCCGGTGTCGCTTTCGACATTATTAATCCGCTTTCAGTAGAGAAACTTCAGTATTTCTCAACGGAGTCGTCTACCTGCTGAGAAACGAATTCAGAAACGAAGAAGAGATTATCAATCCGTCGTTATCGAGGATGTTTAGTGTAAAAAAAAAAAAAATAAAATAAAACTTTACTTTTTTTTTTTTACAAGTAAAATATGCATGCTTGTTGATGCGAAAAGAAAAAAAAAAAAAGAAAAAAAAGAAAATATATAAAACGCAACGATTCTTCGTAGTTTAATCCTCCTCTTATGCGAATTTCTGCTAGAGAAAAAAAACAAAAAAAAAAAAGAATTGTTCGAGTACCAAACCTTTCTTACGCGTTTTTTTCGGTGTCTGAAACGGATAGCCGAACAACAAGGATGTCCTCATCACCCGAAGATAATGGTACACAACGATCTCCATTCCGGTAGTTTTATAATTAATAATTATTGTTAAAACGCATAGATTAAGACGCATTTTCTTCCTATAGATATATATATATACACACACACATATATATATATATATATTAGATAATTAGAAAAAAAAGTTCATTAATAATCGCGCTTTTGAAATTGAGAAATTGAAAACAAAAAAAAAAAAAAAGAAAAAAAAGAAGTGAGCTCTCTGGAAATGATCGATATGATGGCTCGACGTTTTCATCTAGAAGATCATCCGCAACTTGTTTAAGGTATTCTTCCTTTTTTTTTTTCCGTTCCCAACGTCGTCGATCCGAAGCATGCCGCGATCCGAATCAAAACTTACTTTACCCGATGAAACCAAAACCAAAAACCAAAAAACCAAAAGACCCGATTCGCCAAAAAAAAAAAGAAAAAATAGTCACACGATCCAAAAAAAATTCGATCGCGGTGCACGTACAACGATTCTGACCGACGGCGATCGATTTTTCTCATTCTATCTCTCTCTCTCTCTCTGTCTCTCTTTCTCTCTCTTTCTCTCCCACGAATCCTTTTACGCAATCCTTTTATCTTTTATCCGCCAAAGCATCGACCAAAAAATCTCTTTATAAATCGAAATGAATCAAAAGCATCAAATACGCCCCTCTAATACGCAATCCCCTCCGCCCAGAAGCTCCATTAACCGGCCGATCTTGAAGTTTCAGGTTTCTATGCCGCGGCCCCACAGTTGGATCTAAACTTCGTTTTACAATCTTGCAAGGCGTTCGAGAACTCGGAAGCAGGCGGTAATAGGGAGGCGGCGGCGGCGGCGGCAGCGGCGGCAGCGACGACGACGACGACCACAACGGGCCAGCCAGATTTCGGTGGCGGTTACGTGACGCCCCTGCCTAATTATCACGCGCAAGCTGGTAGGCAAAGGAGCACATACGCGAAGGGTAACTTCGCGGATTGCTTCAGAAAGCCGTTCCCCTGCCCGAAATGCGGCCGTTGCTTCACCGTCAAGGGGAACATGACCAGGCATCACAAGTACGAGTGCGGCCAAGCGCCAAGATTCCAGTGCCCTTACTGCGAGTTCCGTAGCAAACAAACGTCCAACGTGATGTCCCACATAAGATCGAGGCACACGGGCCAGAAAGTTCACGTGGTACACCTCAAGTACGAGAATTGAAGGGTATAGAAGTCGGCCATCCGGAGAAGACGCGAATTAATATAGATAGGGAGAGAGAGAGAGAGAGAGAGAAGAGAGAGAGAGAAGAGAGAGAGAGAGAGTGAGTGAGAGAAGAGTATGCATGCGCGTGCGCGTGAAAGAGCGTGTCTTATTGGAGGGAGAGTCGTTTTCGTTTCGCCGTGTCGTAAAAAAGGCGACCGAGAATGGTGGGGATACGAGTGACCGGCTTATTTTATGCTACAATTGTGTATATAAACGATCGGCCGACTCTTCGCGCAAAATAGCTCCCTCCATCCGTGCCTATGACGGATTCGATCTCCATTCCAAACAGTTGACAGTCGGTATGCAATAGGTCCTTTCCTCAAATCCCTGTGCGAAATCGAAATCTCACGTTTCGAGTTGTAATTAATCCCAATTCCCCGGATCTTAAGCTTTAAAATTTTAATTAATAAGAAATCGATGCACACAATGCATTCTAGATTTTCCAAGTTCTAAACTTGGAAATAGCGTTAAGTTTTCTTAAGAAGCGTTCCGCCACGAATGGAAGGAACGATGGGGAAAAAAAAAAAGTTGAGATATTTAGTAATGTGATAGTAGCGATATTATAGCTAGAATACAGGAGTATAGGAAATTCTTGTGGCAACGCTGATCCCCCAGATCCTAACAAGCCCTAAGTCCTGAGCAGCGTTACCGTGAGTGGAGGGGATAAAGTTGAGGAGATAGAAGAGGATAGCAAATTCTTCAACGTGGCAACGTTGCTTCCAAAATAGTCCTCGAGTCCTAAGTCTTAAGGAAATTGGCTCCGTGTCGATCAAAATGAAAAGTCATTGGGGGGAAGAAGAGGCAGTGTTTATAAAAGAGATTGCGCCTCTTCGTTGGCTGATCTTAAAGGCCTTCGATAAATTAAGAAATAAAATATTGGCCAACTCCTTACGACTTGGGAAATTTGAAAACTTCTTCCCAAGACTTATCGTAGACCGGCTGTGAGAGATCTCTGTCGTCGGTTTTTTGGACATGGTCCACGGATGGGTTCGATCTGTTCGCATCGGAAAACGTAGTACCTCCGAACGAACGCGGCCTTTTTTTTGCTAATTTTTCTCCCGATTAGAAGGATAAAACTTATTACGCGTACATACACACATGTGCTTATATATAACATATGTAACTGTGTATATATATATATATATATATATATATATATATAT